AATATGTATGCGCGAGTCTCTGATTAAATTTTCATAGCAGACGCGCTCATGATTTGTTTCACATTAGGCTCAAAGACACCTTTACCTTCATTGCATTTATAGACTTCACTTATACCACTGGTATCTATATGAACTATCTGCGTGTGTGTGTCTGTGTGTGACGTGATGAGTATTGGTTTTCAATGCTTGGCAATCGTATAACTAATAATATTTAAAGGCGATGCTCAGCGTATGTATTGTCTGTTTGTAGCATAAGGAGAAATGAATGTCAACGGAGAGTTGGTACTGCAACACCACGCATCTGTCATGATCAGCACAAGGGCTTGAACCTATTTTGACTTGAAGCGAGTATGAGCGTCATGGTTTCCATACAGGCTATCATATTGTTCACACATGTGAATATATAGCGTACTGTTTGCTTTTCATCTCCAACCTTCCTGTCAAAAATCCGGATCCCGATGTCAATCGCATCCCATATCTGTTGCAGGCGGCTGGCAAAAAGTATGCTATCAGATCATTTACACCTGTGGATAAAACGTACTGCGTAACCTTCCATCGACAACCCTCCTGACAACACTCTCATGTAATAGTATTATACTTATTACAGACTGCTGGCAAATGGCAAGTATGCAGTCGCAGCCGAATTGTTGGCTCCCATTGTGCTGGTGGGTGAGACTGATGACGCATGCATGGCCCAACTGCCCACTTCAGACGAATACCTATCCGCTGACGCTATATGGAAACTGGTAGGTGTTGCGCTAGTGCTTATGTATATACGCGACTATGCACACACAAACACACGCTCGTGCACAAGATGTATTGCAATTGATAGGCGTATCTAATGCTTGTGCATATAAGCGCCTATGCACACACACGTGCAAACATGTGCGTGCCCCAACTTCTCACTGCGGATGCTTATTTGTCTGGTGTCGCTATATGGAAACTGACAGGTATCGCGCCAGTGCTTATGTATGTACGCGCCTATGCGCACACAGATACAAGCACATGCACAAGATATAGATATGTGCCGGTGCATACACACGGATGGGCGTATCCATGCGTGGTTTCGGATTCACATTTGCACGCGTGAAAGTATATCGCATGTATAGCCTACCTCAGTTGCTACCTATTGGGTAGGGTAGTTACAAAGTGTCACTGGTGATACGCTGCTCTCCTCTCTTGTGTTCCACTAAATGCCGGACAACTAGCGGTAGAGCGAACATGAGCCGTTACAACATGTCAGCAGTTGGTGAGCGCATTTTATCACTGCACGCAACTAGCAGACCGCAAGTGTTCGGTCTCGCATCTGACAGGGAGAACGATGAGTGATTGAAGATTATACGTATAGTTGTTCTCTTAAACAATACATATAGCATATTAAAACAGCCAGAAGGAAGGCTAGCGATGATTTAGAACAATTGTTCTATTAAACAATACATATAGCATACTAAAACAACCAGAAGGAAGGCTAACGATGATTTAGAAGCCTAGGCAACGTACCCACCATGAATGTCCATAGACTAGTTGTGCCTGGTGAACTACTCAATAGATTACTTCGTGATTCTGCACCATCACTGCGTGTGTTCAGGCCGAGATGCTGTGCACGGCCTATGTGCATCTCAAAGACCACATGCGGCAGCTGAGACTCCTGGAAGCTCTCCTGTGTATGGCGGCCTCTCACGGACTGCCCGATCTCTTCACAAACAAAGGTATGTACAAAGTCGATTAAATGACACGAGTGTGTCTGTTATAAAGGGAGATATCCTTTCCCAGTGTTTGTGTATACGTGTACATGTGGCCATTTTTGGGAGTGGAGACTACCAGTAGCTCGCCTGTGAATAGTGGCGTCCCACGGACTGTCTGATCTCTTCACAAACAAAGGTATGTATGTATACCTATGTAGTTGCGTAGCTTAGTGTTCATATCGAAACTATTATACCGAAAGTAACCAAATATAAAGGCCAAAAAATGGGTATTCATTTTAAGTTTTGCACTTTGAAAGACCGAAGCTGAGGACTCGGCCCCAAGATATTATTTTTTGATTGGTCAATTTCTCAATAGTTCCGGGGCTTCCGCTCTATTTCTAAGTTTTCTTGCATCTCGCTCTAGTATCCAATTTATCGGGACAGACAAGTCGCAGGGCCCTAAAAGTATTTTGAGGTGTAGTGACATGGTACCCAATCGAATAATGCGACGATCTCCGGGATTCAGTGAGGTTTATCGCTTTCCCATGTTGTTTGTCTGTGTTTGTTTGGGTGGTGCCACTGCTATGGCCATAGCCACCCCTGACTATTCTGAAGTGTGACCCTCACAGAGACACCTTGCGTAGGCCAGATGTATCCTGTAGAATTGATTCAACTGAGGTGAATTGGTGGAAATGAGCACTCTGTCAACCTTTCAAGTGTAAATATAACCTTTCAAGTGTATATGCAACCTTTCAAGTGTATATGTAACCTTTCAATTGTAAATGTAACCTTTCAAATGTATATGTAGCCTTTCAAGTGTATATGTAACTTTTCAAGTGTATATGTAACCTTTCAAGTGTATATGTATCCTTTCAAGTGTATATGTAACCTTTCAAGTATATATGTAACCTTTCAAGTGTATATGTAACCTTTCAAGTGTATATGTAACCTTTCAAGTGTATATTTAACCCTTGCAAGTGTACATATATGTCCGTGAGCGTGTGAGAAGTGCAAGTATGTATGCGAGCAATGGCGAATTGCGATTTACTAATATCTGAAATATTCTTACTTGGCTAGAGGTATATAAGTTTAGTCTGTTTAGTCTTGTATCTGCGAACCTCCGGTTTTTATGGTCAACCGAACACTGTATGTTAACATTCTTTGCTTGTGCAAAAACAATTATATATGTGATTGTACGTTTACACATATGTGCAAATCTTTAACAATGAAGTATATATGTGATCATAGGTATACGAACATGTGGACATCTATATCAACTTCGCATTCTTACAATAGGGATAGGTTAAGTACCATACCAAAGTAACGGTGATTGCATTGCAGCAGTGTTTGTGTATCAGAATCATCACTTCTTCATTGCACTCTCTTGTACGGATTTCTGCATGCATGTAACAAGAGGCTCACTCAGATACAAAAAACTATTTATCCGTACGCAACCTTTCTGGTGTGCGCTGACAGTGAACACTATGTACATTAACGCCCGTATTTACAATTGACACAGCATACTAAAGCATATTACTTCTGCCTCCCCCCTCCCCCCACCTCCACCCCTCCCCCTTTAAAATAGACCAACAACAACTAGAATCACCAAATAAGGAAGAAAGCGCGGGAAAAGCACCCGCCACGTGGTGTCCGCGGGTTGAGGTTGTGCTGCGGTGGATGAAAGAGTGCTTACTTGTCATTGCACAGCAACCAGGCGATGTACTTCGAGCACGATTGGTCAGGGTGGTCAAAGAGGTATAGTAATATAGCTTGTTGTGTACAACTAATTCGGGTGTCTATTTGTGTACACTCGTTTACAATGTCGAACTACCTATCTATGTCTGTTCTAAGCCTATCAATCTTTTGACACTCGCCCCATCGTGTACGTCGCATGGGATGTATGTACAGATATATGGCTTACTCGATATTACACACACACCAGTACGTGCCTACTATCTGGGATCAACACTAGCCGCAGCAGCTATGTGATACACCCGCGTAACGAGCAACCACCACGAAGCATATGTCTAGAACACGCACACCGTACGCTTTAACATTGGGCACATAAGACAACGTACGAGTCCTTTCCATTCATTCGTGTGCAAACTGATCTGCTCTACCCTTCAGATCGTCTCACACTCGACGCAGAAGCAACTGCCACGTGCACAACACACCCACGAGAGCTCTCAGATGGCCCAGACAGCCGTCATTGTGTTGTACCTGCTGTGCTATGGCCAGGCTAGGCAGAACAAAGATATCACCACCGCACAACAGCGTCACGGGAGAAAGGGGAAATTACTGCGAACAGCCACAAGCACCACCACAGCCGGGGAGTCCAGTGGCCCCAACTCTCAGCCGATGGGCGCCAGTTCTAAGGGAGCGGGTACTAGTTTCAAGGTCATGCGGGTGATCCTGGTGGCACCGGACGGGACAGCGGAGTATGCGGATGTGCGGCGCGAGAAGCTGGTTAGTGGGGCACGCACGTTCCTGGATACCATGCATACTGTGCTGGGTAGTACGCGGCAGGGGTGTTGCCATGGCAACAGGGGAGGCGCTGGCAGAGGTGCGAAGAATAGTGAGGAATTGTTTGACTTCCTGGAGTTCGTGTATGAGGAATTGAAGGTGTTGTCACCGGTGGACTTCGACACGCACTATGTGGAACCAGCGGGTATGCTATTTCGCTAACGTAGAAAATCAACATACGTGCAAATTTATAATAGTGCACATACTCCATGCACACATATAGTACTGGACTAACTCTATGCACGTTGACATTTTCCACGATTTATAGTGTCTTCAACTTGCATGCAAAACTTTCTATAGGCAAACCTAGTACAGATGTTAGTAAGTACAAAAATAAGCGGATGTACTATCTCTTGTTCGCCCATGGGTATACACAGGCACTACATGTTTGTCTTGCGCGAGCTTCTTGCGCGTGAGGGTGCAGAGAGTAGGCTTGGCGTGTATAGTCTCATACACAATTTCTCGGTCGCAGAGTTTTCCTATAGAGTTGGCTGCACGAGAAAGGCCATGTGGTACGTGGTACGACAGTCCTGCAAGATCATGCTTACGAGAACACCAACACACAATTGATATGAACACAGTGCATACTAACACTAGGGAGTCATTGTATCCTGACAAATGTACCCCTCACATGGTGGTAGTTTTGCTCATGCACGCCAACGACTTTTGTTGAACTTCTGCATGCTGCGAACAGCCAATACTTATTCCATTGATCTGTTTTAATACAAATTTTTAATCATTATTCCATTGATCTGTTCGAATATACAAATTAATTCCATTGATCTGTTCGAATATACATATCAATTCCACTGATCTGTTCGAATATACAAATC